GATAAATACTGTATGATTTCACTTATATGTGGAATCTAAAAAACAAAACAAATGAACTAACAGAGCAAAACAGAAACAGTTATAGAATCAGAGAACAAAGAGGTGGTTTCTGGGGTGGAGGGGGGAAGACATAGGTGAGGGAGATTAAAAGGCGCAAACTTCTAGCTGCAAAATAAATGAATCGCAGGTATAAAATGTACTGTGGGGACTTCCCTGGCGGTCCAGTGGTTAAGACTCTGCACTTCCACTGCAGGGGGTGCCAGTTCGATCCCTGGTCGGGGAACTAAGATCCCACATGCCTCCCAGCGTGGCCAAAATAAATAAATAAAATATTTAAAATAAAAAAATACAAGTAAAATATTTAAAATAAAATGGGGAACACGGTAACTATGTATTGTCTTTGTATGGTGACATATAACTAGACATCATGGTGATCATTTTGAAATGTATAGAAATATCAAATCACTATGTTGTATAACAGGACTAACAAAACAAACAAAAAACTCATAGAAAAAGAAATCAGATGTGTGGGGGGAAGGGGAACTGCATGAAGGCAGTCAAAGTCACAAACTCCCAGTTATAAGTAAGTACTAGGGATGTAATGTACAATATTATAAATATAATTAACATTGCTCTATGTTATATATGAAATTTGTTGAGAGTAAATCCTAAGAGTTCTCATCACATGAAAAAAATTTTTCTACTTTTTAAATTATTTATCTATATGAGATGATGGATGTTCACTAAACTTATTGTGATAATCATTTCATGATGGATGTAAATCAAATCATTATGCTGTACACCCTAAATTTATACAGTGCTATATGTCAGTTATATTTCAGTAAAACTGGAAGAAAAGACAGAATAGATAAATTTTATTTTTTATATGCATTACAAACTAAATCTACCTAAGAGAAAGTTTTGAGCTTCTGGGTGTGGTTGTATGTAAATTCTTGCATATACAGAAAAAATATGGTTATGTATGTGTATGATACCTCTGCCTAGGTGAAATACAACTGAAATAATGGCACGGAGAAAACCAAATATCCATTTATGTAAATTCCCAGATGTATATCAATAATTCTTCAAACTTCTATTTCCTCTATCTTTCCCTTGACCAAATTAAGAATCAAACTCTTTGAAACTTTGAATCTCTTCTATTTCAATGGTTTTTCAATGTTTATTCATAGGTTTGTACTACATATATAATATGATAGATAATTCATTGAACTGTAAGTTGTTTGAAGCAGGAATTTTGTCATCTTTATGGTTGGTATCACTTATTACCTGCACGGTTCTAAGCAAACATAGAACCAACTGTCTGTTGATTCTTCCTAATAACAACAAACTTTCGTTAAACAGACTGTACTGTGCTTTGTCCTGAGCTTTCTCAAAGATTTCACAGAAATTGTATATTAATCAAAATTTAACATAATTATGTCCATATACCACTAATAAAAATAACTTCAGACAATATTTCCATAAGATGAGTCACTCTGCATATGCAGTACAACTTTGTAAGGTAAGGAGGTAACTGACATTTATTGAGCGCCTATTATCAGCCAGATATTTTATTCACTTGATTATTTAATCCTCACAACAAACCAGAGAGGTTGGTATTGTCATCAACATTTTATAGAAACCGAATTAAAGTTTAGAGAAGCTAGAAACCTCTTCAAACTCAGATAGTTTGTACATTAGCAGGATCAGTATTCACACACAGTTATCTAAGACTCCAAATTCAGGTACTTTTTACTCAAAATTTCATCTTTGAACAGTAAATAATTCAATAAAATATTTACTATTAAATATTAATAGATATTTTACTATAAACCATAAAATTTGATGATCTTAGCACCAAAACTGAACGGTGAAGAAAACTTTTAAATAAAAAAACTGTATAATATTTTTGATCTGGGAACTATTTATAGCTAACTGTATATAATCCCTAATTATTCACCTTTTCGCTGCCCATATGGCAGTTCTTAACTAAGAATGTGTGTTCCCAAAGTTTACTTGAATCAATTATCTGAAGTTTTTCCTAACATTCATTTGGTTGCGATTTTGCACTCTAAATTGTAATGCTATGTTATTTTGCTCCCAAATTATTTTATAAAGGCTTATTGAAACTATGATATAACTAGCCTAAGTTCTGTATTCAAAGAACAGAGAAATTATGTGACAGAAGGAAATTATGCAAAAAAAATGTTGTATTCTCTACCATTTTTCTGAAGTTGGAGTTAGCACTTGACAGCATTTTACAGTATTTCATTTTTCTTTCAGGGTCTGTCTCTTGTCTACACTTCTTTCCCAACATTCCATATTCTCACTGTTCTTGTGTATCCCTACACCACCATTTTAATACCTCCTAGGTCTTTCAATTCCTCAAATAAGAAGAGATACCAGCACACTGATAAGTAACTTACTTGATTAATTGCATCCTTACAACAACTGTGAGATGTACCTATCATGATCTTCATTTTTCAGATGAGAAAAATAAGGGTTAGGGAAAATAGCAAACAAGTGAAAGATTCCAAAGCCCACATTCCCCTCAATGTATTCCTTACTCCAAGATGGTATCTCCTCTTCCCCAATCAAATTCCCATAGCTTAATAAAATTGGTCTTAGTGAGAAATTAAGAGAAAGCAATAAGAATAAAATAATTCAATTTCTTTGGATAACTGATAACTCCATACTCCTTCTAAATGTTTTTGCCTTTTTGTAAAATGATGCAACTGGACAGGTAAGCAAACCTTCACCATGAGTTTTCCCTAAGTTCCTACATTCATAGCTTTTGCCATTTTCTATGCTCTTTCCTCCCTCCACTTCTGAACTATTTGTTTGTTCAGACTATGTTAAAAGTTACCCACTTTTAAAAAGTAGATATAAATTGCATCATCAAAATAATATACTAGAAGGATTACTGAACTAAAGAATGAAGTTTGTACAAATACATTTTAATGTTCTTTTGCTACTTGGTTTAAATTAATTCCAATATATTAACTGTCCTCTATATGAAGTCAATATGGAGTAGAGAAAATAACAAAAGCTTTGAGTCAGATAAACCTGTTGACTAGTACCAATCTTGTGACTTATGAGATTTTAAGCAAAGTGATCCAACTCTCCAAGTCTCAGTTTCCTCATCTACAAGATACGGATAGTACCCATCCACTTCTTAGGGTTGTTATGAGGATTAAATGTTAATAAACAAGTAAAGTACCTAATTCAACTCTTTGGCTTATAGTGAGTACCCAATAAATCACTGGTGACATTACTGATATCAGCTGAAGTTGGCCACTTATTATCTGTATATCCAATGTAGAGTCACTTAGGCTCTCTGTACTCCAGGGCTTTAAAAAAAAAAAAACACATGGAAAAAGACAAATGGAAATAATAATAGTTGCCTTACTTACTCACATGCCTTCTTTGAAAATTACATAAAATAATGAATGAGATGTACTCTAGAAATGCAAAAGATATATCTATCTACATTTATAGATAGATAGATCTTATATATTCATTTATATATCTTACATATATATGCATATAAAATTGTTAGATTTTGTAAAAATTAAGATAATACTTGCTCTACACACATCACAAAAGTTTTTTAAGAAACTGGACAATATGTATGAAAGCAGTTTAAATGTCATAAAGCACCATACAAATCCAAAGGTTTATTACCACAGATTCTAAAGCCGGAATGCCTGGGTTCAAAACTCAGGACTGCCACAACCAGCTCTCTGACCACAGATAGTTATCCTTTTATAATTCAGTTTCTTATCTGTAAAGATGAGAATAACAGGACCTACCCTAAAGAGATGTGAGGATCAAATGACTTAACATATGTAAAGTGTTTGAAATAGTCTCTAGCACATAGCAAGCACAACGTAAATATTTGTTATTTTTATTATCATTAATCCCAGACTCTGGGTGACCTACACAAAACATCTTGTCATAGCATACTTGAGAATAGTTGGCCAAATGGACAATAGGCCCAGAATGGTAATTTTCATATTGTTTATATAGCTATATAAATTTTATATTTGATTTAATAAATGTTATATTTAATTTATTATACATTTAATTTAATGATATTATATATTTTATACATATAAAATATTGTTTTATATATAATCCATGGAGAACTAAATTGTAATAAAATGTGTGTATATAAAAATATATATGTTTGTGTTTGAGCTATTTTTAGAAAGTAAGCGCTAACCTTAGGTGGTGCTTAGAAGTAACTATAAAAAGAGCATGTTTTCAGAAATTAATGGCTTCTTTTCACTTTTGATTGTTCTTCAGTTATGAATAGGTCATACTTAACATAGGCCCTTTTTACAAATAAAAACTGTAGAACACTAATGACATCTGCTGTAGCCCTTGTACGATATACTATGTGGGGAACACTGGCAAATTTAAAAATCACTGTAACTAATCCAACACACACTTGTAGGATTTTACAATTTAAAAAACACTTTCCCATTTTATTTTCTCATTTTATTCTTATATCACTCTGTGAAGTAGGAGAACAGGCATAATCATTCCCATTTTAAAGATGACAAAAATAAATCTAAGCAAGGCCTAGTAATTTATCCAAAGTCAACAAATATTATATTCTTTAGATCATAGTTTTTCCACAACATTAATATACTCTAAAGGCAAAACAGAAAATTTTGTCTAAAAACAAAGGCCACTTGTTTTGGCCTACGACATATTTTTAAAGATCCTTAATAAGTGATTTCTTAAAATACACAGCCTATGGAGAATTCCTTTGCTAATGTATCTTGCAGACTGGATTTGCTATCTTTGACTGTTCTTAATGCTAACCTCCCACCATACTATTCTTAGGCTTAAACTCTCATATTTATATTTTGTGGTCCTTGGTCCATTTATAGTTAATTCATGCTATAAGCAAATCCTAAAATTTTTCACTTCAGTTATTTAAAACAAAATAAATACAACAAATAAATAAATATTATTCCTTAAAAACTTACATGGCTTTTGGACTCATTATGCAGATGGCTCCTGAACATCGACATTTCCTTGGGTCATCATATGATATGCCCAGACTGAGTCCCAGCATCTGGGTGACAATAATTGAAAATGCCTCCAAAGTTATCCCCTTGGGATACTACATTAACAACAAAGAAAATTCAAATAAAAGACAATTCACTGAAGGGTGGTAAAAGTAATATTTTTCTAATTATGAACATTTTACTGATTTATCAAATACTTAAGATTATGGAAATGCAGTTCATTGGACAAGTAAGAAGCTGAAGATCTTCTTATGAAATTTTATTGAGATATAAGCATATTGAGCCTATGTCTAGCTTTGCCATGATTTAACAATTGAATGCTTTTAAGATAATTCTTAAATAACTGTCCTAACTATATAAAAGAGCTATTTTTACATTAGACTTTTGGCTATATGGACCATGATCTTCCATTTACCTAATTTCTTAGGACAGCTCTCATGTTCATTCAGGAGAGTCCACATGATACTCCACCCCTCAGCTCACAAAGTGGCCACATAACCAAATTCCTCAGTTGTAAGTACGCTATCTGCTTCCTGCCAAGATTTTCAATGACACAGTAACTAGTATCAGGAGAAACCACGGAAAACAGACCCTCAGGAAAGCATTCTTGTGATTAGGCTGTCACATATTTAATGAGTGCATAAATATCTTCCTTGCCAAGGAGAAATGGGACACTGGTAATTCATGATATGCAATGACATCATAATTTCTCAAATTTTGCCAAATGTGGCATAAGTTAAGGTGCAGGTAGAGGCCAAGTTGTGAGGAACATCAAGGCACTTCACTGTTACAAAGACAAGCTATAATAAATATTTTGGGGTCAACTGGCTTCTTATGGCAGTGCTAGAGGAAGCACATTATGAAAAGCAGAAAGGAAAAACTGTAAATGAACAACTGATAATGCAAATAGGCAATCAGAAAGCCTCTGCAGCAGCACTGTAGTGACTATCACCTGCTGCACTTGTTGGTTTGATACAGCTGAGGACCAAACTCAGGGCCTAGCTATAAGTACTGTAGGGTTCCAGCTCCAATTTAACTATCAAACCTACCAGGTTTGGTGTGGAAGGAGTCAGAATCTGAAACTTGGGGTGGGAACAACTGGAGTGACATGAACAAATATCCCTGGACGTCCCTTGCCTGTAGAGTAAGCCTCCCTCTAAACAATGAAAGAGGGATTCACCGGTGGAGCAGTGGTTAAGAACCCACCTACCAATGCAGGGGACATGGGTTCAAGCCACAGTCCGGGAAGACCCCACATGCCGTGAAGCAACTAAGCCTGTGCACCACAACTACCGAGCCTGAGCTCTAGAGCCCGCGAGCCACAACTACTGAAGCCTACGTGCCACAACTGCTGAAGCCCGCGTGCCTATAGCCCGTGCTCCACAATAAGAAGCCCATGCACCACAACGAAGAGTAGCCCCCACTCGCCGCAACTAGAGAAAGCCCATGCATAGTAACGAAGACCCAACACAGCCAAAAATAAATTAATTAATTAAAAAAAAACAATGAAAGAGCCCCTACATTTAAAAAAATGACACTTAATGACAATACCTGGGACATTTGTCTCATCATCCCTCATTGTCTCCAGGCCCACAGTAAGAATTAAATTGCAACAGGAGTGATATCACCAAGATGGCAACATAGGTCTTTCCCAACTTCACTCCCCCTCACAAGAAGAACAACTAGCAACTATTCATGGACATCACTGAGAAAATTCTAGAACATGGAGGTGAGGCTGAAGCAGCCCCTGTACCAGAGACCAAGACAGACCTCATTAGAAGGTTAGGAGGAGCAGATATACACTGAATGCATTGCCCCTCCCCAAGGCTGGTGCAGCACCACACCGAGAGGTCTTCCCAGAGCCTACAGTCCCTCAAGTGGGAAAAGAGCCTAGAGTGGACATCCAGATGCCCTAGTATTGTGGATCACTTCTGGGAGCCCCTACTCTGATCTTACCTCATAAGAATCATAAAGGATGAGTGAGATTTGACCCCTGGGAATCTGATCACGACAGAGAAGGCAGGAAGGGCTTGCAGCAATCACTGCTTGCATCTTGGCAGGCCGAGTTCCCATCTATAGCACCTGTAGGTGCCAGCTTGCAGCTTTGCTCATCTGCAGAGCCAGGACAGTGGAACAGTATGACAAGGGAAGTCAATGAGGTATGGGAATGCCTGATTTGAGTCCTCAGATGAAAAGCTTTGCCAGCCCTGGAACCTGGTCTGCTACCCACCTCCACCCAGTCAGGGGAGCTGTTCATAGCCCTGCCTAATGCCTAGTATAGCTCCCGGCTCCCCCTGACCAGAAGCCTGGTCAGAACACCTGGTAGCTGCATAGTGCAGCAACACTTGAGCAGAGGGTATGGCAGGCAGAATTGATTGTTCACAGAGCAAAGCCTGTGGCACTGTTTGGCCAGGAAACCTGGAGTGCCAGTTAGATTGAGTCAAGACCACAAACAGAGCTAAGCTGGTTTTCCCACTACACCTGGACAAGGACACAAATTCATAGCCCTTCCCACTGCTACATATAGCCTTCAGAAAGCCCAACCAACGAATCTAGCCAGAGCACACAGGAAGCTGTGCCGCCCATCCAACAACCCTGCTTACAGTGGCACTTGAACAGACAGCACAGCCCATGGTTTTCCCCATCTTCAGAGCAAAACCCAGTGGCCCCATGTGTCCAAGGAATTAAGGGCACAGTCTGCTTAATGTGGGTCCACAAACAATGAGCCATGCAGGTCACGTGCTCCCTGTCAGGGCACGGAAGCTAATTCACCTCCCAGCTACTGCTGAGTAAAGTTCCCTGTCCTGACCTTCTAGGAAGCCTGACCAGTGAATCTAAACAACCACAGAGTATATCCTACTGCCTCTCTTGGGCAGGGAACCTCACTATCAGTCCTATCCAACAGTTAAGAGCCAGTGGTACCCTCTCCCCTGACCTCAGAGGTTGGGCAGTGGCCTTGCCTAAAAATAGATCCTGCCTGCCCAAGGACATGTCCAGAAACCTAAACTGAGCTGACTAGTGAAGAACTGTCTCTGCCAAAGTGAGCCTGTAAAGTCTGGAAGAGGAGACCAATAACTCAAATGCACAGGTACCAAAGTAAGGAATGAAGGAGCAAGAAAAATCAGGTGGATGTGACACCATCAAATCAAACTAAAAATGCTGCAAAATAACTAACCCAAAATAAATAGAGGTCTATGAAGTGTCAGAGAAATAATTTAGAATAATCTCCTTAAAGAAGTTTAGTGAATTACAAGAACACACAGATGACCAAATGAAAGTAGTAAAACAATAAATGAACAAAATAGGTTCAACAAAGGAACAGAAACCATTAAAAAGAGATATCCTAGAGCTGAAAAACAGGACTGAAGCATTCAATAGAGAGCTTCAACAGTAGACTCAACCATGCAGAATAAAGAATCAGTGATCTAGAAGGTAGGAATATTTTAAATTATCCAGTCAGAGGAGCAAAAATAAAAAAAGAATGAAAAAGAAAGCAAGCCTACAGGACTATGGGACAAACACACACACACACACACACACACACACACACACACACACACACACCAATAACCGTATCATGGGAATTCCAGAAGGAAAAGAAAAAGGGACAGAAAGTACATTTAAAGCAATAATGGCTGAAATTTTCCAAAAACTGGGAAAGAAATGGACATCCAAGTATATGAGGCACAAAGGACCCCAAATAGGTTGAACTTGAATAGGGCTACACCAGGACACATTATAATTAAAGTGTCAAAAGTAAAGACAAAGAAAGAATTTTGAAAGAAGAGAGGGAAAAAAACCAAGTTACATACAAGGGAACCCCATAAGACTATCAGCAGGTTTCTCAACAGGCATATTTCAGGTGAGGAGAGAATGGCATTATATATTCAAAATACTGAAAGAAAAAAAACTGTCAACCAAGAATTCTATGCCCAGCAAAACTGTGCTTCAGAAATGAAGAAGAAACCATGATTCCCAAACAAATAAAAGCTGAGGGGGCTTCCCTGGTGGCGCAGTGGTTGAGAGTCCGCCTGCCGATGCAGGGGACACGGGTTTGTGCCCTGGTCCGGGAAGATCCCACATGCCGCAGAGCGGCTGGGCCCGTGAGCCATGGTCGCTGAGCCTGCGCGTCCGGAGCCTGTGCTCCACAATGGGAGAGGCCACAACAGTGAGAGGCCCGTGTATCGAAAAGAAAAAAAAAACACCAATGGCGTTTTTCACAGAGTTGGAACAAATACTTCTAAAATTTGTATGGAAACACAAAAGTCCCAGAACAGTCAAAACAATCTTGATAAAGAACAAAGTTGAAGTTATCATGTTCCCTGATTTTTTGTACCTGTCTCCTCAAGCAAGGAAAATAACAGTAACAATAAACAAATGGTACTACATCAAACTAAAAAGTTTTTGCATAGTGAAGAAAACCAACCACAAAATTAAAAGGTAAACTACTAAATGGGAGAAAATATTTGCAAACAATATATATAATAAGGGGTTAATATTCAAAATATACAAAGAACTCACACATCTCAACATCAAAAAAACCCCAAAAAACCTGATTTAAAAATGGGCAGAGGACGTGAATAGACATTTTCTGAAAGAAGACAAACAGATGGCCAACAGACACATGAAAAGATGCTCAAAAACACTAAGCATCAAGGGAATTAAAATCAAAACCACAATGAGAAACCACCTCACACCTGTCAGAATGGCTGTCATCAGAAAGACAAAAACAAGTGGTGGCAATGATGTGGAGAAAAGGGAGCCCCTGTGCATTGTTGATGGGACTGTAAATTGGTGCAGCCACTATGGAAAACAGTATGGAGGTTCCTCTTAAAATTAAAAATTGGACTGCATATAATCCAACAATTTCACTTGTGGGTATTTTTCCAAAGAAAACAAAAACACTAATACTAAACGATATGTACCCCAATGTTCATTGCAGCATTATTTACCATAGCCATGATATGGAAACAACCTAAGTATCCATTGTTAGATGAGCGGATAAAGAAGATATGACATGTGTGTGTATACATATACATACATACATACATATACATATATATATGTATGTATGTATATGTATACACACACACATACACACACAGTAGATTAATACTCAGCCAATAAAATCTTGCCATTTGCACCTACTGTATAGCACAGGGAACTCTGCTCAATATTATGTAACAACACAAATGGGAAAAGAATTTGAAAAAGAATAAATACATGCATATGTATAACTGAATCACTTTGCTGTAAACCTGAAACTAACACAACATTGTTAATCACCTATACACCAATATAAAATAAAAAGTCAAAAAACATAAAAAATAAATTTTAGGGCTTCCCTGGTGGCACAGTGGTTGAGAGTCCGCCTGCCGATGCAGGGGACGCAGGTTTGTGCCCCGGTCCAGGAAGATCCCACATGCCGCGGAGCGGCTAGGCCCATAAGCCATGGCCGCTGAGCCTGCACGGCGGGAGCCTGTGCTCCGCAACGGGAGAGGCCACAACAGTGAGAGGCCCGCATACTACAAATAAATAAATAAAATAAAATTTTAAAAATCTTGCCATTTGTTGTACAGATGAACCTGTTTACAAGGCAGAAATAGAGACACAGACATAGTGAACAAATGTATGGACACCAAGGTGGGAAAGGGGGCGGGGAGGTGGGATGAACTGGGAGATTGGGACTGACATATATACACTAATATGTATAAAATAGGTAACTAATGAGAACTTGCTGTATAGCACAGGGAACTCTACTCAATGCTCTGTGGTGACCTAAATGGGAAGGAAATCCAAAAAAGAGAAGATATAGGTATACATACAGCTGATTCACTTCACTGTACAGCAGAAACTAACAAGACACTGTAAAACAACTATACAGCCCCCCAATAAAAATCTTGCCATTTGCAAAAACATGGAAGGTCTATCTGGAGAGTATTACACAGAGTGAAATAAGTCAGACAGAGAAAGACAAATATGTATGCTCTCACTTGTATTTGAAATCTAAAAACAAAACAAACAAACAAAAGAAAATGAAAACAAACTCAGGTAGTGAAGACAGATGGGTGGCCGCCAGAGGGGAGGGGGTAGGGTGGGGGTGAAATAGGTAAAGTGGATTAAGAAGTACAAACCTCCAGTTATAAAATAAATAAGCCATGGGGGTATAATATACAGCATATAAAATAAGGTCAATAATATTAACTTTGTATGGGGACAATTACTAGACTTGTCATGACTTTTTGTAAGGTATGCAAATGTCAAATCACTATGTAGTACACCTGAAACTAACATAATGTACGTCAACTGCATTTCAATTTACAAAAAGATCAAATGGAAATTGGAAGAGTTATGTATAGAGATGTTTATTAAATATTGTTCGTAATGGCAAAAATAGAAACAACCAAAATTCCCATGAAAATCATAAAGGATACAGTGTGGCATTAATATAATAAAGTATCAAGCACCAATGCAAAAAATTTACTAGGCACAAAGGATTTTGAGGACAGTGAAGCTACTCTCTATGACACTATAACGCTAGATATATGTCATTATATATTTGTCAAAACTCACACAAAGTATACCACCAAAATGAACCTTAATGTAAGCTGTGAACTTTTGGTGGTTGTAATGTGTCAGTGTAGGTCCATCATCTGTAACAAATGCACCTCTCTGGTGTGGACGTTAACAGTGAGGGAGGTTATGTGTGGGGGTGGGCAGGGACTACATGGGATATCTCTGTACTTCCCTCTTAATTTTGCTATGAACCTAAAATTTCTCTTAAAAAACAAAGTCTTTTAAAAATGAACTGTAATTCCATTAAATCTCAAAATTTTAAGTGGAAACCAAAAAAATCTATTTGCAGAATGATACAGCAGGATACAATTTATATTATGTTTAAAGCATAAAAAACAATTCTTGTTCAGAGACATATTCAATTGTGGTAAAAGTATAAGAGCTTTTAAACAAAGAAATATAAAGGTTTATAAAAATATAAGTACGAAAGCTTTGGAAAAGCATCATTCCTTGAATTCAACTCCTCTAGTAATTCTATCCTACATCCTGCCTCACCCACTCATTCCTATGGTTCACACTCCAGACCTTGTCAACAGATTTTTATCAATAACTGCAAGCCCTCCGTCATCTCTGTGCATCCCACATCCTGACCACCTGCTGTCTCTCCTGATAACTGCACTAGCACCTCAACTACAACAATCTGCATGCCCATAAGCACAACCAAACCATGGTTCCTACATTTTCACTGTTCCTAACCTCCTTACTGACTTCTCTCCTCCTTTAAGCAGTTCAGATTCTCTTACAAACACCCTCAATTTCCTTGCCATCCTTTCACTTCATAATGAGTTGACAAAAACACAATACATCAATCTTCAGAATGCTGAGAGAGAAGGATGTTAGAACTAGGATTCTAAACCTAGCCAAATTACCAATCAAATGTGGAGGGAAAGCAAAAGCGTTTTCATTAATAAAATAACAGTGTTTGCCACTTATATACACTGTGTCTAAAATTTTTTAAACTTGAGTTATTCCAGAAAAAGAGCAAAGAATTCCAAGAAAAGGAAGATGAAGTTTAATTTTCTGTGGCAGTTGATTCCGCCCACAGAAGTAAAATAAGTTAGAAAAAAATTGACAAGACCTCTTTTGGCCATCAAAGCTTTACCAGAATAGCAACATATTTACTTCTTGATTCAGAGTTAATATCATTTTTATATTCATAATACCATAAAATATTTATTGATTTAACTTAAAAATCAACCTGTAGACAAAGCACAAAAGTTCTATAAAATAAATTATAAATTTTATAACTCTTAACAATGGATATGAGAAGTGTACTATTTTACATGTCTCAGTTTTCATAGCAAATAATCAATGGACTTTGCATAAGGTAAAAAGAATTTTTAAAATAATTAATATAAATAAAAACATAAATACATTAAGATGGTAATATATTATGCAATAATATTTAATATATTATATATTATTGTTTATATATTGTATAACATCTATAATATATAATTACATATATTATGTATATACATATAATATTTAAGAATATTAATTCTTAATTAAATCTATTAATATAGATTACTATTGTAAGTATTAATAAAGTAATAAAAACGTCATAATATATATGACAAATAGAGTGGATTAAATATGTCAAAGATAATATTACCAATGTTGTCTAAAGTTTATTAATCAAAGTAGGGGTCAAAGTATATATTTTTTAAATAAATAAACTTAACTACCAGAGAATTTAAAAAGAAATTATAAATTCTTATAGGACTTCATGAAGGGGATAAAGAAGAGAGTTTTGTTAACAAACTTTGCTTTGTATAGCTACAATTTAAACAATTTTACATATACATGCATGCATGCATAAATTCTGTAATAAAAATAATTGGAAGAGTATCAGAAATAAAAATATGTATGCAAAATCCCATTTTTGCAAAAACATATAATGGGGAGCCACAGTAACAGATAAAAACTCAAAGTGCGAGATACATATTAATCAAAATGTTAACAGTGATTATTGCTTCATCCCTGGGAAGATGCCAGATTACATGTTTCCTTTTATGTTTCTATATGTTCTTTTAAAAATGGACATGCATAACATAAATTACTTTGTAATTTAAAAATACTATATAGTACTTAAACTTATTTTTTAAAAGGATGAGTAGGTGGGGGAAAGGCTCAATGAATTACTTCTCTTTCAGTGATGCATCTAATTACACCAATAATTTATTTAAATATAAAATATTTATCAGAACTATAAATAGTTAAAATAGACATAAAATTTCTTTTAAATATTACGTAGAAAAATGTGAAACATTTTAACAGATTTTTATCATACTTTTTGGTTCATCATTTGTTTTGATTTTGAAGTTAATTTATCTATAAGACTATTTTTCTAATTTTATACCTACCAGAAAAAAAATCTATTTTGGTTATAGAAATATCTTTACAGAAAATTTTTCATAATGCACTCTTCTATATAATAAGGGACACATGTGTATTTATTATATTTTTATTCCACTTTAACTTCCAAATAATTGCAATAAGACACTTGTACTTCAGAATACTATTCCTTCTACATACTTCAAAGTTCTAAGAGTGATGGAATATAAATGCAATCTCTAAATGTAAATATAAATGTGAAGTGTATAAAATATATGCTGTAATACTGGGGAATTTTTAAATGTATTTTTTTCAAATAATAAGATTAAATAATTACATACCAAAGCAATTCCTGCAGAATAACTGGTAACACACATCTTTCCAGGAAATGCTGCTCCCACATAATCTTGATAATCTCTATAGCTAAATAAATAAGTATATAATTATAGTTAATTTTGACAAACAATTCACATGTGATAACTCCTGCTAGTAATTTGTCTGTAGTTCATAAATTTCTAGCCTGAAGCAAATTGAAGTACAATCTTTCCGTATGTATTAAACGGCTTCAAATTTGTAAAATAGTCTTCATTAAATGAGATTAAGCAATCTGGGTTTCTAAAACGTATCCAATGGATCCAAGTTATTGATGACTTTACTGTTCTTGTGACGTTTGGTTAGGGTTACTAAAGCCTTGATCAAACATTTCAATCAAAAGCATTTTGCTGAATTACAATGAAAAATAGTTTTAATGTATGGATTAAAAGTTTTCACTCAAATGTAGAAAAGCTCACCATTTTCTCACTGGAATGATTTTATTGTTCTACAACTTACCATTATTTTTTTCTGCTTTGAGAAGAAGAGTCCATATAAACTGCCATATAATAATAGCACTATTCTCATGGATTTACATAAACGATTCTATTTAATCCTCAAATCCAGCCAGTGAATTAAATACTATTTTTTCCCCGCTGAACAAATCAAACATCAGATGGGAAGTACAAGTAACTTGCTCAGGGCAGCACAGATAAGTGCTGCTGAAGGATATGACCTTGGACAGTTTGAATGCAGAGCCATACTCTCAACCACTAAGATATAGATGCTCCAAACATATTCTGCCATCTTTAGAGCCCCAGCCAAAACGAACATTCCAAGACGTGTGTAAAAAAGCTTGGTACACAATTCTCAATTTGAAATGCCTCCTCAGTCTCAACTGCACTGCACTTCACAGTTGCACTGCTCCCTTATTCTGCCTCGCTGATATTGTTTATACGTAAGCACTTGTTTCCAAGTATTCGCCTTTAACACCCAACTTTGGGTTTACATTCCAATATGAAAGTATTGTTTACACTCTTTTTTCATTCAAGATAGTTCTCCCAATAGATAAGACTTTCCCCCTAACTCTATGCATACTTCTGATGAGCTGGATTCAATAATAGCTATTTTTTACTTAATACGGCCACCCAGTCTCCACATCAAATCAGTTATCAAGATTTACTGTTTTACTTCTTCAACTTTTCTGGTATCCCTCCCCTCCTCAAGAGGTTCAGCTCCAGTTATAACTATGAATTCCATACTCTTTGAAAAGAACTATTATTTAGTCCCATGTCTCTAGGCATATTGTTTCCATAACCTGGAATGCTTTCCACCTCCTTTCACTGAATTTAAACATTCCTGGGACTTCCTGGTGGTCCAGTGGTAAAGAATCTGCCTTCCAATGCAGGGCATGAGGGTTCGATCTCCGGTTGGGGAACTAAGATCACACATGTCACAGGGCAAGTAAGTCAGCATACCACAACTAGAGAGAAGCCCGCACACTGCAACGAACATCCCAAGTGCCGCAACTAAGACCCATCACAGCCCAAAATTTTTTAAAAATTAATTATATTAAGTAAAAACAATAAATATTTTTTAAAAATTCCTCAATCTGCCTTCTCACTTCTACTTTGAGCAGCACGTCTTTAACTCGGCCCTTTTGTTATATGTTACTTTGAGTCTCTCTCTCACTCTTGCTCTTGCTCTCACTCTCATTGTTTCTTCCTCCTGTAAACTATAAACAGTAGAGGTAATGTACCAACATTAATCTTCTGGAGTGACATCAGCAAGACGGCAGAATAGGAGTTTTTTAGCCCTCATCTCTCCACAGAAACAACAATTTTGACAAACACCCACAGATGTGGCCCAAGACCCAAGGAAAGGTCCCATGCCACACTGGAGCAAAAAATCCAAGAACAGACACATTGAAGAAGGTAAAAACCGTTTCACTTTACCCATGTCACCATTCCCCCAAGGAAGCACAGCTCAGTGCCGAAAGAGCTGCCTTCAGCCATGATTTCTCCCAAGGGAAGGTGAGAGGATAGTGAATACTGCCAGCCATGCAAGATGATGCCAAAGAGGCCCACTTTTTAAACGTCCACTGAGAGATGAATGGATAAAGAAAATGTGATGTACATATACAGTGGAATATAATTCAGCCTCAAGAAAGAAGGAAATCCTGACATTTACAACATGGATAAAACTGAAGGACATTATGCTAAGCGAAATAAGCCAAGCATAAAAAGGCAAGTACTGTATGATCACACTTATGTGTGGAATCTAAAATAATCCAATCATAAAAGCAGCGAGTTGAATAGTGGTTGCCAGGGGTTGGGAGATGGAGGAAATGGGGAGATGGTCAAAGGTACAGTTTCAATTATGTAGGCTGAATAAGTCCTGGAAGTCTAAGGTACAGCATGATGATTATAGTTAATAATACTGCATTGTCTATGTGAATTTGCTAGAGAAGATCTTAAGATTTCTCGCCGCACACCAAAGAATGTTAACTATGTGAGGTGGTGTATATGTTAATTAGCTTATGATTTCACAATGTATACATATATCAAATATCACATTGTACTCCTTAAATATGTATAACTTTTATTTGTCAATTATACCTCAATAAAGCTGTAAAAGAATAAAACTAATAAAAGCAAATAGAGGGAAACTGAGGCAGAGAGCATCAATTGCCCTAGGTGACAGGGCTGAAGTTAAATGCAGGCAGTTGGCCTCCAGAGTTTAAATTTGAATCACTATGCAATATTATCTCAATAAACATTTGTTGAAAAAAGGACAGATTGTAAAAGGTTAAAAAATTAAGCTTGCTATGTTCATTGTTCCTACTGTAGGGCCTAAACCAGATTATAAATTTCTGGAGTACAAATTTCTGGAGTACAAAGACCAGAAAATAATAGATAATTACTGTTATTTATCATAATTTTATAGTATTTATTCTAGGACATTACTCATATGCAAAGTATGTTGATGCATTAAAATAACATCAAGGGATCAAGAAGGGGTATTACTCAAGTTCAAGGAGTCTGACTGTACCATAATTTCTACATTTCTAATGGGATAAATTCTCTCACCAATTTCACTTATTACTGTATCAAATTTCAACATCCTATTAAAAGGATAATACATCATGTCAAAATTGAGATTTATTCTAGGAATGCAAGATGGTTCAAGATTAGGAAATATATCACTATAATTATTTCTGTTGAATGCCAATAAGAATATCTTATGTCATCCCTATAAAAGCTGAAAGATTATTTTTCTTTCTTTTTTTTAAGATTTTTTGATGTGGACCATTTTTAAAGTCTTTATTGAATTCGTTAAAATATTGCTTCTGTTTTATGTTTTGGTGTTTTGGCCCTGAGGCATGTGGGATCTTAGCTCCCCGACCAGGGATCAAACCCACAACCCCTGCACTGGAAGGAGAAATATTAATCACTGTACTGCCAAGGAAGTCCCTGAAAGATTATTTTTCAAATTGTTGGTATAGTATGAATCTATGAATATTGCCCTACTATTATTCAAATTCTAAAACATGCCTGTGCACACACACAGAGCCAAACCTACATTTTAGCCCCCAAAGCTAAAAAGTATTACTCAATGAGGTAACATTCCCTAAAGTAAAGAAGAAAAAAGACATGACCCATGTTACCATTATTACTACTACTAGTTAAAACTGTATTAAACTAGCCAAAGCAATAAGAACAGAGAAAGAAACTGAAAATATAAAATTAAATAGAAAGAGATAAAACTACCTGTATTTGCAGATGGTATAATTATATGAGTGAAAAAACCAATGTAATAGACTTAAGAATGATTAAAAACAAAGAAATTTAGTAAGGTAATAGGATATAAAATCAATATGAAACTAAGGTAATTTTACAAACAAAAACAATATATAGTTAGCAGATAGAAGACATATTTACAACAGCAACCAGAAAGACAATATACCTAAGAAAAGTTATCAATAAATGTATAAAACCTATGAGAAATTAACTTCTGAATGACCAAAAACTGGCAAGACAAAATGTGAGATCTGAAGACTAAACAGTTCTCTATAGCTCAATTTATAAATTTAACATAGTCTTAAAAAATAGGAGCTAGACAGGTTGATTCTAAAATTTCCATGGAAAATAAATTTAAAACTTCCCTCATACCCATGAAGTGGGAAGGCCTTTCTAATTCTGACTCAAACTCTAGAAACCATCAAATAAAAGCCTGATGAATCCTGCCTTAAAAATAAAAGTATTTTGTATGGCAGTTAAAAAATACACACACACAAGAAGCCAAGCCAAAAGACAAATTAAGAAAGAAAACTACTTCTCATTGCAATGCAAAGAAACTGATCTTTTTATCTATATCTGTGTTGAAATTGATATCTAAATGCATCTATCCCTATCTATCTAGATATCTAGCTATCTACCATCAGGCTCATGAAAAAGAAATGAAAATTAAAACTATACCAAAGATACCATTTCTCAGGTACCAAAGGTGAAGAAAAACTTGACCATACACTTTGTTGGCTAGACTGTGGGGAAAAAGACCCTTCTCATACGTTATTGATAAGTGTGCAAAGCACTAAAATCAGTGCCAAAATCTGGTATTAGCTATCAAAATTAGAATTATACTACCTAGAAATATCACTCCTGGGAATCTGCCTTGTAGATACACATGCACATATATAAATGACACACGTAAGGTTTTTTTCACTGTAGGATTTTTTAAAATAATAAAATATTGGAATCAAGCCAAGTACCAATTATTAAAGAACTAGTTAAATAAACTACACACAATTTTTAGACCCTATTATAAACTGGAAATATTGATGTTATCATGCCAACTTAAAAATATGTATATGCAGATTTATTGAAAGACATGCTGATCATAATTGCTGGTAAATTTTATATGAATAAAATTATAAGTATACAGTTATAATTGATAGAAAACTAACATTTAAAAATAATGCAGAAAATTCAGTAGGATAAAATATTTTAACCTACTTTACCAAGGCTTTGATCAAAACTCATAACAAAGATATAATCTTCACAAGATAAATCCCATCTCTTTATGTAATGATTTAGATTATGGGCTCTGGAGTTACAAACTGTGGATTCAAAACCTAGACACACCATCAAGAGTCCTTAGTTGGTTTAACTTCCTGAAATATCAATCTCCTCAACAGTAAATGTTGATAAGCACAGAAATAAATTTTAGCAATCTTCTTTTATTGTCTGACAACCAGAAAGAGAGCATGAGGTCTGACTGAGTGCGTGATAATCAAAGTATGAATAGTCAGAAATGAACAACAATTCCCTAATTTAAGCTACATCAATATCACAAATCTTTGATTTCTAAGAAGACTGAAACATTATACTTACATGAATAGATATGCAATATCATGAGGTCTTAGGGTAAGATAAGACTTTTTCCATTCTAAAAACGTATGCAATAATTCATCTGCCTCACCAACAGTAGAGATCTTATTTTTATCTGACCACAATTCCAAAGATGACAGCACAATAGTAATTTTAAATGGCGCAAACATCTAAAAACAGAAGAGATAAATACATGAAAAAAATAATTTTTATGTTATTTTATAATAACCAAGAAATTAATTCAATCTTTTGACAAATCCACCCTCAATTTATATGGATAACTTTATTCAGAAATGCCACGTCAGCCGCGGAGCAACTCAGTCCATGCGCCACAACTACTGAAGCCTGCGCGCCTAGAGCCCATGCTCAGCAACAAGAGAAGCCACTGCAATGAGAAGCCCGCGCACCGCAACGAAGAGTAGCCCCCACTCACCACAACTAGAGAAAGCCCGCGCACAGCAACAAAGACCCAATGCAGCCAAAAATAAATAAATAAAATAAATAAATTTTTTAAAAAAAGAAATGCCATGTCAAGTCAATGCAAATTATAATTTCAAAACTAGTATGAATTTTCCTAACTAGTATGAAAAGGAAAATACTTACCGAATTTACAAGGCCAATAATTTCGATGACTTTATTTGTTACCATCATGCTATCAGAGCCCAGGTAATCATACTGAAAAACAGAATTTAACATTTAAATATCATTTGTTATGTAATATGTTTGGGATTTACTCTCCATCTACTCTCTCAGGTTGAGGCTGCTTTGGGGTTAGAACACTTCAAAATAAGACAGTAACAATTAAAATAGGAATATAAATTGGATCACTCACACATGCTAGTATGTAACATTGTATAGCCACTCTGAAAGATAGCTTGGCAACTTCTTTCAAAACAAATAATGGACCTAGAAGTTGCACTCCTGGACATTTATCCTAAAGAATTAAAAACTGATGCTCAGAAAAACCCATACATGAGTGGAAACAACTCCTATGTCATTCAATGGTTAAAAGGTTAAACAAACTGTGGTACATTCATAACCCGGAATACGATTCAGTAATAAAAAGTAACTGAACTGTTGATATATGAAACAGCCTGGGTAAACCTCATGAAAATTATGCTAAGTATAAACAAATCTCAAAAGGATACATACTATATGATAACGTTTATGCAATATTCCTGAAATCACAGATGGAGAATAGATGAGTGATTACCAGAGGTCGAGAAGTAAGGAAGTGGGGAGAGATGTGTGTGACTCCAAAGGGATAACACAGAGAGTCTTGTGATGGTATTTGTTCAGTGTATTCGTCGTGGTGGTGGTAGTTATGAATGGCTACATATGTGATACTACCACATAAAACCACACACACATACATACACACAAATGAGTGTATATATAATGGCTGAAATCTGAATCAGCTCTGAAGAATGTGTCAATGTTAAATTCCTTATCTATAAAAAAACTCTCTAAAGTACATTATCCCTTGGATATTACACAGGACCCTCAAGTTAAACATATCCAAAACTACACTCATTATCCTCCCTCAAAAATATGCTCCCACTTAGATTTCCACTTCTTTAGTGAATGCTACTATCATTTATGACCTCCCACATTCATTATACTGTATGTTCTGTGACAGCAAAACTTGTTCTGTTTTGTTCACTGCTCTATCCTCTAACAGTAACTGGCATCTAGGTGATGCTTATTATTAAATGAATGAATAAATCAAATCAATTTACAAGTTCTTCTAATTCACCCTCATTAGTAACATTTAAAATTGTCCTTTCCTGTCTATTCCTAACACAATTTGTAAAACTTCACCTTGATTACTGGAATAGTCTCTTAAATGCTTTATCTTACTCCAATTTTTACACCAGCATTCCTGTCCCTATGCTATTGCAGAAATGATTCTAAATGTAAATATGAACACATCATTACCCTGCTTAAAATCTTTCATTGACTCTCTATTACCTTTAGGATAAAATCCAAATATCATGTCAATTCTTCAATTCATCTCTTTCCCTTTCCCTTCTTCAACACTGTATATTAATCATACTAAACTTCTTAAAATGATCTGAAAAGAACAATCTCTCATATTTATGCACCCTTGCAAAGAAAGGTTTCGCACTGAGTCTTCCCTGGCCCCATCCTCCCCCCATTGCCCAAACCAACCAAGCCAGAACCCAGCCTGCAACCATCTCCTTTACCAGGTTCTCACACTCCAATTCCCCTGCCCTAATCATCCAAGGGCAAGGTACCAAAAATTGTGAAACAACCTCTATTCTCCCGAACCCACTGCAAATTTTCAAGTTAGCCAATGCTAAACCTGTTTACCTTGTTTTGCTGTTCCTTCCCACAGAAATCACAATAAAGGCTCCTGCCGTGTTTTCCTATTGCTCCCTCTGTCTCCTGACCTACCCTGGTGCTTCTCCATGTGGCATGATGTGGTATGCCCTTTCCTCCTGGGAACTGTGAATAACAAACTAACTTTCCAATAGTAATCATCTCCTGATCTGTTGGCATCAGCATACCTGAATAATAATAAAACCTACATGTTAAAACACCTACTTACATGCTCTTACAATACCTCAGGTTACAGCTGTGTGTCTCCATGTCTTTCTCTATTAATGCACTGTGTTTTCATAGTACCATAATCTTCCCTCAATCTGGCACTGAATTCACTAGGCTACAACTGTGGATTTAAAATTTGTGAAGTGATTGAAGACATCACTATTCTTCTTTATATGCCCAATATCTAGTAACACAGATGTCATACTGGCTCAATGTTTGTTTTATTAAAGAATACATAAACATAAATATTTGTAAGAACATAAAAAAGAGATGTTTAATGAGCATTATATGGCTGACAAACCTGGCAGTTTGGACAAGAAGCTTTTAAAACAACTCTCAAAATCTGTAACGTAATCCTGAAACAAAATAATTTTCATAAACCCAAATATTCCCTGGAAATCTAGTCATCTTTACTAGAAATATCTCAACTTTCTCTTAAATGTTCCCTTTGCCCTTTTCCCTAATACTCTAATAAGTCAAGTATTTTAATATCCTTCTCCAAATATCTCCTGTCTCTGACCCTCAACTCTGGCTTCCTGACAAGCTCTACAATCCTATGAATAGAAAGGGAAATTCACATTCTCTGTAGTATTCCATAGACGTGACAATCAAATACTTATCTTCAAAACAAAACCTGGAAAGTATACTTTATCCCTGTTTTCTGAAATCTTTGAAATATAGGAGAAATAAAACCACACCCAATTGAGTACAAACTGAGTTATCACCTCAAGGGTCTGAAGTTCAGAGATCCTCAAATTGTTTATGGGAATAAGGAATCTAGAGGTGCCTTTAGACTAGACTCAATCAGACTTGAGTCAACAGACTCAAACAGTTGCACCATTAAAAACCACTAAAAAAATCTTGACATTTTAATGTAAGCAGTTATCATAAGTAGTTATGCTATCATCATTGCTGTGCCAATAAATATCTTATAGGGAAAAAGATTCTCTAGACTACATGCTGCTCTTCAAGTACCCTAAAACAAGATTTAAAGCTTAGAGAATTTCACTTTAAAAAATTACCATTAAAAATTTTTGTGGATTGAGAGAGGACCTAAAGATGTGAAGTACCAGCAAAAAAAAAAAAATCATTTTGTTATGCAGGTTTGTTATGTAAAGATTTCAAATAAAACATTTCTGATAGAACTAATGTAATTTTGAATATTTGATTCTTCAAATAGAAGACATCTTCACTGTTCTCTAGGAGTGACATGGAAGTAAGAAGATTGGAATCTTTCAGTTCCTTTCTAGTTAGGGATAATCATACGTTCATATCAAATATTCAAAAGCAAAGAAAAAGCAAAACACATACCAAAACTTTGTCCACCACGATATGCATTTCTAGATAAAGAGGAATTAAATCTGGAACAGCTGATTCTGGCTAGAAAGAAAGAATAGCAGTATTTAAAAACTTTCACAAATTGTTTATTCTGAACTTTTAAAATATTTTTCCACCTTTACTGAGTCATAGTTGAAATATATATATATATATATATATATATATACTTAAGCTATAAGACTTGATGCTTTGATATACATACACAATGTGAAATAACTGCCACAATCAAGCTAATTAACATATCCACTCTCACATAGTTACCATTTGCTTTTATCTTGTGTGTGTGTGTACTCCATAAGTTTTTTATGGAGTAGTTAGGATGTTCTATATATAATATCATGTCATCTGCAAGTAGTGACAGTTTTACTTCTTCCTTTCAATTTGAATGCATGTCATTTCGTTTTATTACCCAATTACTGTGGTGAGAACTTCCAATTCTTTGTTGAATAAAAGTGGCGAAAGTAGGCATCCTTGACATGTTCCTGATCTTAGAGGAAATGCTTTCAGCTTTTCACCGTTGAGTATAATGTTAGCTGTGGGCATGTCATATATGGTCTTTATTATGTTGAAGTATGTTCCCTCTGTATCCACTTTGTTGAGTTTTTATTATACATGGATGCTGAATGTTTTCAAATGCTTTTTCTGCATCTATTTAGATGATCATGATTTTTATCCTTCATTTTGTTAATGTGGTATATCACATTGATTGATTTGCTGATGTTGAACCATTTTTTCATCCTTGCAATAAACCCCACTTCAGCATGGTGTATGATTCTTTAATGTTTTTTTTCCTTTTAATGTTTTAATGTTGAATTTGGTTTGCTATTATCTTTTTAAATATTTTTGCATCTATGGTCATCAGGGATATTAGCCAGTAATTTTCTTTTCTTTTCTTTTCTTTTTTGTGGTATCTTTGTCTGGGGTTTGGTATCAGGGTATGCTGGCCTTGTAAAATGAATTTGGAAGTGTTCCCCCTTCATCTATTCTTTGGAAAAGGAGTTTGAGGATTGGTATTAATTATTCTTTAAATGTTTGGTACAATTCACCAGTGAATTGTATAAGTCTGGTCTTGGACTTTTGTCTGTTAGCATATTTTTGACTACTGATTAAATCCGCTTACCAGTAATTGGTCTATTCAGATTATCTATTTCACCATAATTCAGTCTTGGTAGGTTAGGTGTTTCTAGAAATTTATCCATTTCTTCTGGGTTGCCTAATTTTTTTAAATTGAAGTATAGTTGATTGACAATGTTGTGTTACTTTTAGGTGTACAGCAAAGTGATTCATATATATATATATATATTTAATATATATGACATATAATATATATGTATTCCTTTTCAGATTCTTTTCCCTTATAGGTTATTACAAAATATTGAGTATAGTTCCCTGTGCTATATAGTAGGTTCTTGTTGGTTATCTATTTCATATATTGTTGTGTATATATGTTAACCCCAAACTCCCAAGTTTTCCTTCCCCAGGTTGCCTAATTTGTTAACATATAATTCTTCCTAGTAGTCTATATTTCTGTGGGATCAGTTGTAACATCTCCTTCATTTTTTATTTTATGATTTCTCTTTTTCTCTGGGTGAGTCTAGCTAAAGGTTTGTCAATTTTATTTTTTCAAAGAACCAGCTCTCAGCTTCACTGACCTTCTCTATTGTCCTTTTGGAAGCTGTTTCATTTATTTCTGCCCTACATTTGTTATGTCCTCCCTTCTGCTAATCCTGGGTTTCATTTGTTCTTCTTCTAGTTCCTTGAGGTATAAAGTTAGGTTATTAGTGACTTTTCTTGTTTCTTGAGGTAGGCCATTTATCGCTAAGAACTTCCATCATAGAACTACTTTTGCTGCATCCCACAAATTTTTGGTATATGCTATTTCCAATTTCTTTTGTCTCAAGGTATTTTTAAAAATTTCTCCTTTGATTTTTCTTTGGCCCATTTGTTGTTCAGTAGCATACTGTTTAAACTTCACATATTTGTGAATTATCCAGATTTCTTCACGTAAATAATTTCCAGTTTCATACCACTGTGGTCAATAAACATGCTTCATATGTTATCAGTCCTCTTAAATTTATTAAGATTGTTTTGTGGCCTAACATGATCTCTCGTGGAAAATGTTCCATGAGAACTTCAGAAGAATGTGTATTCTGTTGCTTTTACATGGAGTATTCTGTATATATCTGTTAAGTCCATCATTCCAATGTGTCATTTAAGGCCAATGTTTCCTTATTGATTTTCTGTCTGGATGATCTATCCATTGATTTAAGCGGGATATTAAAATTCCCTACTATTATTATATTGCTGTCTATTTCTCCCTTTAGGTCAGTTAATATTTGCTTTATATATTTAGGTTATCCTATGTTGGGTACATAAATACTTACAAATGTTATATCTTCTTGTTAAATTGACCCCTATAACGTTATGTGACACCCATCCATGTCTCTTATTACAATCTTTTTTTTTTTACACCTATTTTGTCTGATATAATTATAGCTACTCCAGCTTTCTTTTGGTTTCCATTAGCTTGGAAATCTTTTTCCATCACTCCACTCTCAGTCTCCGTGTGTCCTTATATCAAAAGTCTCTTGTAGGTAGCATACAGATGGGTCTTGTTTTTTTAATCCACATAGCCACTCTATGTCTGTTGCCTGGAGAACTCAGTCAATTTACATTTAAAGTAATTACTGATAGGTAGAGAAATGAGAGAACTCAAATAAAATTTAAAAGTAATTATTGCCATTTTATTGTTTACTGGCCGTTTGTTTCTTCTTCTCTTGCTCTCTTCCTTTGTGGTTTGATGACTTTCTTTAGTAATATATTACTTTCTTTTTATTGTTTGTGTATTTACTATAGGTTTTTGCTATTTGTAAGCCATGAAGCTTACAAATAACTTATATATGTCTATTGTAAGTTGACAACAACTTAAGTTTTTTGAAAAAGCTCAACATTTTTACTCCCTGCCACATTTTATGTTTTTATGTCATATTTTATCTCTTTTATCTTGTGTACCCCTTAACTAATTATTGTAATCATAGCTATTACTAGTTTTACTACTTTCGTCTTTTAACCTTCATAGTAGCTTTGTAACTGATTAATCCACTCCCTTTGCTATATATTTATCTTTCTGGTGAGCGTTATTATTTCATGTTTTCTTGGAAAAATTTAATGTGAGTTCCAGTTCAAGATGGCAGAATATGAAGATCCTGAAATCAACTCCTCCCAAAGACCTATTGAGTCTATAACTACATACAGAACAATTTCCTCTTTTAAAAAACCTAAAGTCTGGCTGAGTGGTAACTATACATCAGGAAAATGAGAAGAAAAGCACGGTGAATCAGGTAGGATGTACTGAGACACACTCTTACCGTAAATGCCACCCTCAGTGCTATGACCCACAACCTGGAGAAAATTCTAAACCTGGAGCTTCTGTCTGAGGAGTGAAGGGTTTGAACCTCACATTGGGCACCACAACTTTTAGGAGCCGCACCTGAGAGACAAGCCCCCAAAACATGGAACTTTGGAAACCAATGGGGCTTGAGTCCCCAGACTCACAAGATTGTGTCATTCTGGCAACCAGGTCAACAAGGGCCCAGGCACTTGGACTTACCTTCTGTAGGGCCCAGCTCAGAGGGAGCTAGTCATGCCCAGACTTAAAGTAAAGGAAATTCCCTTGCTTATATTAAGGTGTCAGCCTGAGAGGCAGGCATCTAATTAGCACCCACATCCAGTGATGAAGACCTGCAGGTACCATCTTCGTGCTTTCCCTTGTCCATGCTCCAGAGCAATATATCTCCCAGAAGAGAGCTTTTACATGCATCCGGTGCACCGATCGTTGCAGCTGACTCCCTGGGGACATTACTTGACTGCCTGACTCTGGAAGCCAAAGGAGCTTGCATTCCTAATCGCATGGGATTGTAATGATCATAAAGGAGCTCATACCCCTGTTAGGCACTCCAATTTTTATGGCAGCTACCCAGGAATACCTCTACATCACCTGGCTCTGGCAGCCAGTGGGGCTTATACTTGTGGGTCCCATAGGACAGTAGCTAACAGAGAAAGAGTTCTTAAACAGCTACCAGGCCCCAGCCAGCAAGAGGCAAAAGATCCAAGACCTCAGTCTTTCTGTTACAGAGGGCTATTAGCTAATCATCATGGCTGCAGCCTGAGAGGCAGACTTCTAATTAAACACACATCTATGGGCTAAGTGTCATGCTTTCCAGACACCTCAGAGGGTGAGTGCTATCTTCAAGAACTCCCTCTGCTACCCTCCAGAGATCCAGTTTTTCCTGCAAGGGAATTTTACATGCAATTGATGCCCTAGTTTTTAAAACAAGTGCCCCAGTTTCTGCAGCTACCACCTAGGGAATGCTCCTTCAATGCCTGGCTCTGGTGGCTAGGGGGCTTGCATTTATGAGACCAACAGGACTTGAAGCAATTGAAGAGATGGTTCTTGGCAAGCTGCCACCTCAATACATAAGGCAAATGCTAACAGCCATAAAAAGGGAAATAGACAGTAATACAGTCATAGTAGGGGACTTTAACACCCCACTTTCACCAATGGACAGATCGTCCAAAATGAAAATAAATAAGGAAACACAAGCTTTAAATGATACATTAAACAAGATGGACTTAATTGATATTTATAGGACATTCTACCCAAAAACAACAGAATACCCTTTCTTCTCAAGTGCTCATGGAACATTTTCCATGATAGATCATATCCTGGGTCACAAATCAAGCTTTGGGAAATTTAAGAAAATTGAAATCATATCAACTATCTTTTCCAACCACAATGCTATAAGATGAGATATCAATTACAGGGAAAAATCTGTAAAAAAATACAAACAGATGGAGGCTAAACAATACACTACTAAATAACCAAGAGATCACTGAGGAAATCAAAAAATACCTAGAACCAAATGACAATGAAGACACGATGACCCAAAACCTATGGAATGCAGCAAAAGCAGTTCTAAGATGGAATTTTATAGCAATACAATCCTACCTCAAGAAACAAGAAACATCTCAAATAAACGACTTAACCTTACATCTAAATCAATTAGAGAACGAAGAACAAAAAAAACCTAAAGTTAGCAGAAGGAAAGAAATCATAAAGATCAGATCAGAAATAAATGAAAAAGAAATGAAGGAAACAATAGCAAAGGTCAATAAAACTAAAAGCTGGTTCTTTGAGAAGATAAACAAAATTGATAAACCATTGGCCAGACTCATCAAGAAAAAAAGAGAAAAACTCAAATCAATAGAACTAGAAATGAAAAAGGAGAAGTAAAAACTGACACTGCAGAAATACAAAGGATCATGAAGATTACTACAGGCAACTATATGCCGATAAAATGGACAACCTGGAAAAAATGGACAAATATTTAAAAAGCACAACCTTCTGAGACTGAACCAGGAAGAAATAGAAAATATAAACAGACCAATCACAAGCACTGAAATTGAGACTGTGATTAAAAATCTTCCAACAAACAAAAGCCCAGGACTAGATAGCTTCACAGGTGAATTCTATCAAACATTTAGAGAAGAGCTAACACCTATCCTTCTCAAACTCTTCCAAAATATAGCAGAGGGAGGAACACTCCCAAACTCATTCTACGAGGCCACCATCACCCTGATACCAAAACCAGACAAAGATGTCACAAAGAAAGAAAACTACAGGCCAATATCACTGAGGAACATAGATGCAAAAATCCTCAACAAAATACTAGCAAACAGAATCCAACAGAACGTTAAAAGGATCATATACCATGAACAAGTGGGGTTTATCCCAGGAATGCAAGGCTACTTCAATATACACAAATCAATCAATGTGATAAACCATATTAACAAATTGAAGGAGTCAAACCATATAATCATCTCAATAGATACAGAAAAAGCTTTTGACAAAATTCAACACCCATTTATGATAAAAACCCTCCAGAAAGTAGGCATACAGGGAACTTACCTCCACATAGTAAAGGCCATATATGACAAACCCACAGCCAACATCGTTCTCAATGGTGAAAAATTGAAACAATTTCCTCTAAGATCAGGAACAAGACAAGGTTGCCCACTCTCACCACTATTATTCAACATAGTTTTGGAAGTTTTAGCCACAGCAATCAGAGAAGAAAACGAAATAAAAGGAATCCAAGTTGGAAAAGAAGAAGTAAAGCTGTCACTGTTTGCAGATGACATGATACTATACGTAGAGAATCCTAAAGATGCTACCAGAAAACTACTAGAGCTGATCAATGAATTTGGTAATGTAGCAGGATACAAAATTAATGCACAGAATTCTCTTGCATTCCTATACACTGGTGATGAAAAATCTGAAACACAAATTAAGGAAACATTACCATTTAGCATTGCAACAAAAATAATAAAATATCTAGGAATAAACCTACCTAAGGAGACAAAAGACCTGTATGCAGAAAACTATAAGAGACTGTTGAAAGAAATTAAAGATGATACCAACAGATGGAGAGATATACCATGTTCTTGGATTGGAAGAATCAACACTGTGAAAATGACTATACTATACAAAGTAATCTACAGATTCAATGCAATCCCTATCAAACTACCAATGGCATTTTTCACAGAACTAGAACTAAAAACTTCACAATTTGTATGGAAACACAAAAGACCCCGAATAGCCAAAGTAGTCTTGAGAAAGAAAAATGGAGCTGGAGGAATCATGCTCCCTGACTTCAGACTATACTACAAAGCTACAGTAATCAAGATAGTATGGCACTGGCACAAAAACAGAAATACAGATCAATGAAACAGGATAGAAAGTCCAGAAATAAACCCACGCACATATGGTCACCTTATTTTTGATAAAGGAGGCAAGAATATATAATGGAGAAA